TCTGTTTTCATTTGTTTCAAATCTTCTGCATGTGCCGTTCTTTGTTTCACTTAAGTAATTTTGAAGTGTACTTACTGTTGTCTGTGTAGGATATGTGGCAGGCAATTTTGTCCTGTGCTGAGATAGGAGACTATGGGTCTCCTAATTGCCTTCAGTACCTAAGATAGGGCAAGGGTTAAAAGAAAGTAATATACCAGGGTTCACAGTACAGATTGCTAATTAGGACACAAATGCTAGTTCTGCTTTTGGTTTTGTTGTGTCAGCAACTAAGATTCCTATTTTGCTAACGTTTATAATTATGCTCTGGTCCCATTCTAGGGCTTGAGCACATAAGTTAAGGCTGACACTCCAGCACAGTATCGAGGGAGGGCTGCACTGTTGGAGGTGCCATCTTTCAGACGAGACATTAAACCGAGTTCCTATCTACCTGCTCGGGTGGATGTAACAATCTGGTGGGCCTATTTTAATGGAAAGGCAAATTACCTGTGCCCTAACCAATATCTATCCATAAATCAAAACTACAAAAAAGAATTACCTGCTCACTATCACATGGCTAACCATAACTATAAACTAAGGTTCTTGAATACTTTTGTAGCTCAGATTGTGGATGCTGTGGTTGGTTGGCTCACCGAGCTGGTTCGTTGGTTTGTTTGTTCGCTGACGTTTCATTACCCTGCTGGGTACCATCATCAGTGCAGCCTCCAATGGAGCATTGTTGTGTTTTCCTGCCTGGTATTTAAACTCTGGAGTCCATTGGAATTGGTTACCACATTTCCGATTTTTCTTTGCAGTGGTGTGTATAAAGGGTCTAGTTCAACGTGTTTATTGATGGCCTTCTTGGTGGAGAACCACACCTCTAGAAAATCCTGTGCTTGTCTCTGTTTGGCCTGTCCTAGGTCCTTGATGTTGGCCCAATTGAAATGGTGGTTTGCCTTCTATGCAAGCATCTAGCTGTCTCCATGGACAGATTGGTCACTGCCTCATAGAGCTCGGCCCAGCACACTCAGTCTGTTGGATATGTGCATAGACCTACAATTCATAGCCTTAGCAATCTGTACTCCGCACTGACGGTGAGGCGACAGGATGATAAGGGACCTTGACTTCAAAGGTACCAGACATCGAAGGAGCCACACTGTGGCACTCAGAAATCTCTTCTCAGAATGGTCCAGAGCTGGCTGGACCTTCTATCTCCACCCTGCCTCTGACCCTCAGCCCTGTGAGAACTCAAGCCAAGAAGGGTGCACCTACCTCTGGGCAAGATACACTCGACACATCAGGGCCTTCTAGACACAAACACCCCCAAGGTTGGTCGACAAAAACTCCAAGCCAGTGGGTTCCACTGTAGTCTGTTCAGAGAATATGATGATCTGGATGTAACCATGAGGCAAGTTTGGTAAGGTAGCACAAGAAAACTCAGTTGGCTTTGTGGAGAGAAACCTTTTACAAAACCCGAAATGTCTCTCTCTCTCTCTCTCTCTCTCTCTCTCTCTCTCTTCCCCACCGCCCCCCTCCACCCCACCTTCTCTCCCTCCCTTCTCTCTGTGTGAGTGAAAAGACAAGAAATAATCTGAAGACTCCAAAGAAAGAATTCAACTACAATGATTTCCAATAAAAGGCTTGGGTCACCTCAATCAGCTATTGAATTGAAGATCAACCATAGCTCTGCGGACAACGTTGTGTCATCATCATTTTTTAAAAAAATCAAAAAAATTGTGAAATTGTGTCCACTTCTGTGGTCTGGGATTCTGAGCTACAGATCTTGTTTTCTTGCTGTCTTTTTTCTAATCCATAATATTTGTTTATACCATCTGTTTTATCTATCTTATTTGTGAATGAATAAATGTGTGTTTGTTGGGAGTTTACAGGGGTTATAGTTTCAGTTGTACTGTCGTAAATTAGTAATTTCTTTGCCACTTGTTAAGGAATAAATTTATTTACAACAGTATTATGTTCCTGTTAATGACAAAACCTGGTATGAAACTTGTCCTGAATAGCAGTCTGTCAGGCAAATTGATTATCTTAGTGGCTTGATTGGGTATTGACACATTTGTGGTGCTTGTGGAAAACTGGACCTTGATTGTTGATGCACTATTCCCAAATGAGTCATACCAAAATGACAAATCACTTCTTATAGCGTAAGGATGCTGAATCTCCTCATCATTCACCGCCCATTGAATTTCTTGTCTCGTCTGTTCTTCTTTCAGATGGTTTCAGCTGGACCACTTAATTTTGGAATGTCTGGAACAAGCAAATTCAAGTATCCCTTAAATATCCCTTAAACTAAAAAGCTGAATGTAAACAGAACACACAGGATGCCTATATTTCACTTCAAATATCTAACTATTCTTTGACATATCTGAATGCATTCTCTTTGTACTGACATCCAATGGAGGTGGGCCACTTTCTGGTTACCTATTGCTTTGAATGCCCAAAGACCCATTTACCAAAACTGATAGGAATAAACTAATTCCACCTTGCACCCTAGACAAAGATGCCTTCTGCAGGAGCTGGCCTTACTGCATCCCAGTAGATATTATAATTAGCTACACAATCTGAGCTGCCTCACGTTTTGGTATTCTGTAATATCAGTTTTGGTCCTGATGGAGGCAACTCTTCATAATATGGTACTTACAGAAATTAATGGCATCTATTAACTTGCGGGGGAACTGTCAAAGTTTGAGAGGAGCAGGAGCCAATTAATTATATCATATCCACCGAGAGTTTCGAATCCCATAGCCATCACCAACGTGGTAAGTGATGGTGATCTTGGGGAGGGAAGTTAGTCTGGTAAAGTGATCAGCCTCAGACAGCACTCATTACTGTTATAAGTGGAACCGAAAGCTCTTTTTGCCTGTAAAATCTTGCAATTTGTTTTTGGCTGAGGTATTTTGTTTCAAACATGTCCTCACTAATTCACTTGTATTCCAGCTGGCTCCTGCTGGGTTTGCCTCCCTGCCCGATCTCCTAACAAAACAAATATCTTTATCAAATGTACAAAACAAGTCAGCTGCAGAATAGGTAGAGCCTAAAACTGGTGGACGCAGTGCAGGAAAATGATGTACAAACAAGTTGGGCAAATTAGAACTGGAATACAGGATGGTCCAATTAGAACAGTTTGAATATTTGACGATGTGAGAAGTGGTGAAGTTACCCACCTGTGAGTGGAGGGCAGTCATTGGAGACACTGTTATTGAAGGCATACCGATAAAATTTAAGTTCCGTCACCAAATCTGCAATTGAAAACTAGCCTCTGCGATGACACCAGTTGTCAAGAAAACCCATCTGGATAACTTTTAGCGAAGGAAGTCTGCCGACCTTAGATGTTCTGGCCTCCATGTGACTCCAAACCCACAGGAAAGTAGTTGACTCTTAACTGCCCTCTAAAATAGTTGAGCAACCTACTGAGTTTGAGGGCAGTTAGGGGTGGGTAACCAATATTGATCTTGCCACTGACACCCATATCCCATGAAAGAATAAATAAATGTTTGGGATTTTCTGGTGGACCTCCTGTTTCCTACAGGCTGGCGAGGGACAGTGCAGTTATCAGGAATTGTCCTTCTCGAGGCAAGTTCTGTTTGTCGACGCGCTCTCTCTCTCTTGTGCGTGCTCTCCCTCACGCCCTCGCTGTCTCTCCCTCGCTCTCACTTGCACGCTTGCTCTTTCTGTCTCTCAGCTGCCATGGTATCCTGCTGCTGCTTACACACCGCATGGTCTCCCACTGGTCCTTCAGCTTTGAGAGCCTGCCTGCTATCTTTAAATAGACAGCAAGCCTTACTCTTTGGTCATCAATTGTTCAATTTGGGGAAAATCACAGATTTTTGCTCACACAACACAGGCACCTGAACTTTACTCGAGGCTAACAATGGGTTCCTGAAACTCTCAGTGAAAATCCTTCTCATTCCCTCAGGATGGACACAATTAAATCAATTAGTGCAACTCTGGTACAGTGCATTCAACAGTGACATCTTTCATCTGGGCGACGTGGTGGCTAGTGGTTAGCACTGCCTCTCAGTGCCAGCGGCCCAAGTTTGATTCCACCCTTGGGCGTTTATGTGAAGTCTGTGCGTTCTTCCTGTGTTTGTGTGAGTTTCTTCCTGGTGCTCTGGTTTCCTCCAACAGTCCAAATGAAGTTAGATGGATTGGCCATGCTAAATTGTCCAGGGGTGTGGAGGATAGGTGGATTAGCCATGGTTAATGTGGGCTTAGAGGGGCACAGTAGGGTCTGAGTCTGGGTGGGATGCTGTTCGGAGGGTCAGTGCAGACTCAATAGGCCAAGCGGTCTCTTTCTGCACTGTGGGGATTCTATGATTGTATTTAAATGGCAGCTTTAAAATAGTAAAATGTCATGCTTTGCAGTCACATAGTTGGATAAAAGCTGACCAGAAAAGATGTTTGATTTGGTCAAAAAGGTTTTAAGATGTGTATTAAAGGAGGGAAGAGAAGTGGGGTAAGGTTTAGGGTGGGAAAGTATGGATCGCGCTTAAGGCCCAGACAGCTGAAGTACAGCCATCAATGTGGAACAATAAGTCTGGGGTATACACAAGAGATTAGAGTCGGAGGATGCAAAATTCTCAGAGTTGGAGAAGCTTACAGCAACAAAGAGGGGGCAATACCATGGAGCATGGACAGAGTTTCGATAAATCCTTTACAAGAATAAGGTATGTTTACAGAGCAGTTTTTACATGGCAAATGTCTCAAAACACTTTTTACAGAGTCTCAGGGCACACCATGCCGGAAGCAAAGGGGAGGCATTCAAAAGCATGGTCAAGTGTGCAGAAATAACACAGGCCCACTCTTGGTTCACATTGATAGTTGTACTTCAGCTGCCTAGCCCTTAAACTCCATCTTTACTTTCCTCCCTAAACCTCACTCTACTTATCTCCCCTCCGTAAGGCATGTCTTAAAATTATCTGTTTGACTTGGTCAAACATCTCCTTCTGTGATCAACTTTTATCCCATTATGCTCCTGTTAAGCACCTTGTTATATTTTGCTATTTCAGAGCTGCTGCGTAAATACAAGGTCTTGCTGTTGAATGCACTGCTGCGGAGCTGCTCCAGTTGATTTACAATTGGGAGAGAATTTGACGGTGCAGTGAAAATGGCACTGAGGCTTTCAATGTGTGTGGTAGGTGGGGTTTGCAGAGGGAATTAAGGAATGACAATACATGGCAGTGCAAAGAGGAAGGGGTGTGCTAAGCATAGTCTGCTTTTTCGTTCATTCACACTCACATGTCTGTCCATGACAATAAATTTGATCAAAAAGTAAAAATCCTGTTCTAAATTCAAACTATAAGAATTTTAGAAATGAGGGGCACAAATGGATACTTCCTATTTCATAATGAGTTAAATGTAATTGCCTCACACTTGTCCCAAAGCATCTAATATGTGCCATTGTTGCAGTATATTTGATGTTGATGAACTCTTTTAAAACATCAAAGATTTTCTTGTAAAAGCTGGACTTTGGGAAATCTCTGCTCGTGTTGCGTCATGTTATTACAAAGCCAGAACCACAGCAACACCCTTTGCTGCAGTTTAACATGTCCCACAGGTTTCCACCAGCACTTAGCATTTCTGTGTCTCAAGCTCCCCTGCTTAGATTCAGATACTGTACAGAAAAAAATGCATTAAATCTGACGTAAAAACAGAAAAATACTGGCAGTGCACAGCAGGACCATCCACTTTTGAAATGGGGAAAGACAAATTAGCATTTCAGACAAAGACTTGCTTTGAATTTAATTTATCTAAAATTCAATAATTGGGAAGAGAATCACCATGTGTTTTAACGTAGCAAGTTTGGAAATATTGTTACATCAGCAAAGCTTGATTGGCCACTGCCATGCAATAGAAGAATTGATCAGTTAGACGCTGTAATTGTTCCTGTTGCTTAAACTGAGGAGTAAACTTCTATAATTTCAAATAGAAACAGAGAAGAGCTCAAAAGAAAGATCAGTTTCGACAGCATATGTGGAGAGAAATGAGGAGTTAATCTTTCCATTAATCACCTTTTGATAGAACCAATTTTATCAACTCCTCCACCTGCTCTCCCATCAATCCTGACATGAACTCATTCTCAATTCTCCTCCCATCTCCTGACTCCTCCAATTAATGAGACCCTCAGTAGCAGCCGTTGATGAGATCCAGGGAAAAGATGGGGGGATAACTCTTATTAAAATTAATGTGATTTGACCTAGTTCGGACTTTTGATGCCAGGCCAGCAGTTAAGTGCTGATTTAACTTCATGTGAGCATACTGCAACAGGAAGCTTAAATGTCTAATTGGTGGGAATCCCCAATTCAAGAAGCCTGGGAAGAATTTAAGAATCCAAGAAGCTTGGGGACCCTAGACTTTCAGCATCCACAACATTTTTTTCTTCAGTAGTATAAGCAAATCTGGGTGAAAGAAAACCTGAAAAGTAGGTTAAATGCTCAACATCACGGAACTGTACTAATAGAAATTTATAGTAGAACAGAGACATTGGCCCGTGTGGCTGTGTTCATACACTCATGAATCATACAAAACAAGAGAGACCCAATTATTATAGTTGAACATGTTTCTGTTTCTCCCAATTTTCATTTTCAAAGTTTGAATGGCAAATTTTTGACTCTTCCAATCCACTAAAGCTGTCCGATACTTTGTCTGTTACCCCTGACAGTTAAAGGATGTTTCTGAAAGCACCATATGATGAAGAGTTGCCTCAGTCAAGAGCAATGCTGAAATTATGTAATACCAAAACATGAGCCAGCAATGATTCTGCAACCAATTCAAATAACTACTGGAATGCAGTAAGACCAGCTTCCCCAATCTTCGATTGGGGTCGATCTTCGATTCAAAAGCTGATTGGTTAGACCTAGGATTTTCTTGCATTAGAATTCTTTCTTCTCAGAGTCTAGGTGTTTGCTTTGTGTTTTCCATTCATGTATTGGACATTGTGTAGCTTTGGAACAATGACAAATTCATTTTATAACCATCATTTGACAAACTCAGAGTTTCCACCTCTGCTTCACTTTATTACTGGAGTTTTCTTCAGTTTTCAACCTTCAGTTTTCAACCAGCATGGCCTTTAATTTGTATTTAGAATGAATGGGTGATTTATTGGAATGTATGACTTCTTCAACTTCATTTTATGTGGTCTTGCATACTTAGGGGGCAATTTAAAAGGGATGAGTTGTGAATGGACTTGGGGATTTTTATATATATCTCTGCTGTGCAACTTAGAGGGATGAGTGGATCATATATTCTTACCCATCTGGTTTTCTCTCAGTCCAAAGATATGCAAGTTAGGTGGATTGACCATGCGAAATTGTCTGTAATGCCCAGGGATATTTAGGCTAGGTGGATTAGCCATGGTAAACGTGGGATGGCGGTGGGATGCTCTACAGAGGGTCAGTGTGGACTTGTTTGGCTGAATGGCCTCTACGCGCACGGCAGGGATTCTATAATTCTGATTTAGATCAGGCTGCCAAAGTAATGCTTTAATTTCAAAATCATTCCTCAGGCAATGGCTGGAGTGTGAACGTACTTTAACAGTAGCAAACCCTCCTTAACCAAACAGTAGAAATTTGATCCCAAATTGGTGAGTTTTTTGTTTGAGGTGAATTGTCAACCACGTATGGACATTTGCACAGTCATTGTGCCCCATTTCCAACAAAAAGTAAACCAAATGAATGACAAGTGAATCTGTTTTTGTTCATAGTTGAGGGAAGAATATTGGTCAGCACACTTAGGACTTGCTTCTTTCAGTAGTGTCTCACAATCTTTCGAATCATTTAACAAAGATGTTGAAAATTTGTTGAAGATTACAATTGAATGGTAGCAGCTCCAACAATACAATGATGATATGTTAAACTCTTGATGTGAAGTTTCAACAGAGAATAGGATTATTCCAGTATTAGCAGGAATTAAATATTAATCTCCAGGACAATGGTGCAAGTAAATCCTTGAGAGGGGAAAAAAGGGAGCATTTTAAATAAGTTTTTTTTTCTCATTTTACTTTGAATGCCTGTGTTTCTTATTGTCTGATCAACAGTCCTGAATTGCTCAGTCAAGAGCTGAAATTTGGATTTTAATGCCCTCCCCTAAAGTGACTTTGTGCTCAGGGTACAATTAATGATGTGAGACTCGGCGTTGGGAACTCTGCTGCATTTTAACCTCCTTCCCTGATTAAGTTCGTAGAGTGAAGGCTCATGAAGGCCTCCTGCTCCACTGCCAGTCGAGGCCCGTAGGTGAGCTGTAACTGCAGACTTCAAGGCCTCATCCCAATGTGGCTGGCATTCACCCAATGGTGGGCAGGGGACTCACCTTGTGGAAATCCTGAGAAACAAACCTTGTGGGAGAACCTCACCACCTTTTGGATGGGGTCCCTCATTCACAGGCACTCAATGTCTGATCGAGTAACTCACTGTGGGAAGTGGAGGGTGGCGTGTGGTCACTGAGAGCCACCTTTCTACCCTCGTTGTTGACACTCATCCACCTTTTTTTTTGCTGAAACCTTTCTTTCCTGTCACTCACCTATGGCCTGATTCTTTTGTCAAACTTGGACGTTGGATGAATGCACTACCAGCATTAGCTGCAGTCTTGCAGGCCAAACAGTGCACAGCTACTGGCCACTGATAGGCCAACAGCTCTCCTACTAGGATTTCCTCACTTTGATCCTCAATCCTGAGGAAGAGTTGCTGCTGTCTAGTTAAACATCTGATTGGCATAATTCACTGGCGCTTTCTGAAACACATTCACTGCTTTATAGCCAGTAGGCAAGACCCTCCATTGTCGAGAGATAAAATCAGTCAGAAGTATTTGACTTTTTCAAATTGGTGTGAGAAAGTAGTGTGCTGAGATGAAAGCTTCCCTCCTTCCACTATGGTCAAAAAATGAATTGCTGAATAGTTTTATGAATCAATAATGCTGTTCAACAGTTCTAGATTTAATCATGGTGCCGGTCCTAAGTATTTTAATTACCTGAACTGGAGCTTTTATAAAACATCAAGGGAATTAAGATTCACAATGAAGTTAAATACCAGCCGTGAATTAAGAGGAATTCTCTACAAATTTTTGGTTAACCTTTAGCCTGAAGATAGGTGTGAAAAATGGACCATATAGTGCAGTTTGTGCACAGTTAACAAGTTAAGTTCCCATTAGATCTTCTACATCTCTCTTCCCTCATCTTGAAGATGCCGTTTTGAAGCTGAGAATAGTTACTGTTCCACCCGCTCTCAGTATTTGTAGAGGATGGTAAAGCATTTATTTCCCATGTGTTGTTTTCCTTAGGTGGTGGTGGTGCGCTTTTCTCGACTTGCAGAAGTCCCCAGATGTTGTAGGGTAGGAATTGATTTGACATTTTGGAACCACACAGCCTGGTATTGTTCAATCATAATAAAACTCGGTTGACCAATGAAGGTGGCAATAGAGAAGTTCCTGTTAGACAGGTGTACCAAAAGATTATTGGAAACAGATAGGAGTGTAGAATTCGGAATACAAGCAACCTTATTGTTCTAACTGAAAGAAGGAGCGAGTTGAAGGCCCAAATGACCTACCTCTGCATATAATTTATTTGACTGAGCTTTTGAAACAATTTCCCTGGTATTTTAACATTATTTTATTATCACCTTATCCCCATCTTACTTGAACTCCCGCATTGAGGTTTTGTCCTTGCACTCTGGAGCTCATGCAACACCATATGCGACTCTAGAGTCAGCAAGGATTTGGCCAAGCATCAGATCTGATCCCCATCCTATCTGACCTGCATTTTCTCTATCACCTACACTCATCAGATGAAGACCAGGAGCTAGATTTCAAAAGCAGAATGGTATCAGGTGGATGGGTCTGCAATACTGTGTCACCAGCTTCAGTACCATGATCTCAACACCAGAACCTTTTTGGATAAGTTGGACTTGGATTGGTTTGGTTGCCCTCCTCGAGTATTGGTTGTCAATTGAGGCCATTTAGGGCTAACGGTGCTTTCTAGAGATATTGGATCCCAGGCCATGGTCAGGTCACTATGAGGGATTCACACGGGAGTACACTTGGGAGGTTGAGCTTTATT